TATACCAAGTGACAGTTCCAGACTGAGTTGTAAACAGAGCTGGAGGACAAACGATCCAAGGTCACTCATGTCGTTTCTTTTCCTCCTCACAGTCAACATATTTCAGTGACTTTCTGGGCTTGATGCCTGCAGAACCTAGCCAGGGAACAAGGGTGGCAAAGCTCTCACTACTGTGGACCTGTGCACTCTGTCACTTGCCCATAAAAGAACTGCTTCATTCACAGTAAACAAAACCACTTTGGGACATGAGCTATCACTTACAGATCTTCCCCACAGAGAAGGTCAATAGTTTAGCATCTAAATTACGTGAAATGGGTACCTTCTTGACCAGCAGAGATTGCAGCTGTACGTCATTTTTTTTTTTTTTAAATGGGAATGGAAAACAAAAAAAAAGAAAAAAACCAAGATATTTATTGATCAGGGCAGGAGACAGATATAGATAAGTTACAACTGAGCCTCCTCAGCCTCATTTAGCTGATAAGAACTTGTATGCAACCTTTAATCCTTCATCTTAAACCCATGCATCCATCTCTCCTATTTTCAGAGGGGGCACAACATTAAGCTGTAGCCATTCTTTTTGAAATACCCAACAGCAGAGGCATAGATGTAAGCAGTTTTCTTTGACAATATATGCCCCCCTGGGTTTCATGGGGTCCTACACAGCAGTCACCCCAAAGTAAGGGTCTGAAAGGCAGTAGTTTCTACAGAAATAAACAGAATAAAACAGAAGTTTCCTGAACTTCAGGGAAATGCCCTAAAAGGGAACTATACTGTACTAGAATCACTACTAATCAGGTTGAGGATATAGCTCAGTTGGTTTAGTATTTGCCTAGCATGCATGACAGCCTGTGCTTGATCCCTAACATAAACTACTTCAAATAGAATTCAAGGCTATCCTTCACTGTATAGTAAGTTCAGGCCAGCCTTAGCTATATGTAGCCCTGTCTAAAAAAAGAATTGCTACTAAACATTTATAAATCAACACCCTCAACCAAGATTCCCCCTAAGACTCATAGCTGGGTTCCTCGGCTCACCAGGATGGTGCACTGCAGTATTAGGTCACCATTGCACGTCACCCTGTTCACTGGGCTGGCTAGTTGGTCACAGCCACATGGCAGCTATCTACCAGAATTTGGGGTTTCAGAAAGAAGTACAGAAAGATATGACCGTACAGGCCTGTAATCCTAGCACTCAGCAGAAGGCAGAGGGACTGCTGGAGGTCAAGACCAGCCTGAGCTATAAAGAAAGAACCTGTCTCAAAAAAACTAAAACAAAAAGAAAGAAAAGAGTTGCTTCAGCAGTTAAGACTTTTATTGAAGTACTGATCACACCCTGTAAGCTTCAAAGCTAGCCGAGTTCGGATTTATAATAGGAAGTATGTAAGGCATGGGATTTAAATGGCTGAGCCTCAGCAGCCAGGATAGGGATTTAGACCCAGCAGTTTTCTATTATAATACACTGGGTCATTTTATGCAAGTCACGTAACCAGTCTAGGCCCTTCAAAATTCCATGCCGTACCTTGAAAGTCTCCATGTGATTTGGCCCCTGTCTACTTGTCAGACCTCACCCTCTGCCACTTTCCCCTCTTTAACTGACTAGACAAGCAGAGCCATAGGGCCTTTGCACACCCTATCTGCCCTGCCTGATACATTCTTCCCCTCCACCACCCCCTCCCAGTCTCATCTGGCTGGGTCCTTTTTATTACACAGCTCAAATGTCAAAAACTCCGGCTCTTATAAACATAATGTTGGGCAGTACTGTACATGTGCATGCATATTATATAATTTCAGTTCCATAAAATACAAAAAGGAATCAATATTGTAAGTCATGAGACTAGTCAGGTACAGGTAGCAATGGAAGAAGTAAAGGACATGGGTTGTTTAAATTACTTTCTTGTTCTAGATCTAAATCTGCTAACTTACCAAGCTGTTCACTTATAGTACAAATATATATAAACTAAACAAAAAACACCCTGTTGAATATGAATAGCTAAACTATTCATTCCTACCCGATGTCCCTGTTTGATCTGATTCTATGGCTTTTGTCACTAATTGAAATCATCTTCACTATTGTATGTACCTTGCAATCTTGCCCTTTCCACTAAAATAATAGTGTGGTCAAGGGCTCTGCCTGCTTTACTCACAACCTCAAACCCCAGGGCTTGGAACCGTCCTTTCAGATAGTATAGGGTGAATTAAAAAAAAAGTGTGTAAAAGTAAGAAATGGCCAAAGAAGGCCCTATAAAGGATATAACATCAATCCAAAGTCAAACAGTGAAGTTAGAGGCAGAAGCTTAAAAAAAGAAAGAAAAAAAACAAAAAACTTCAATGACATTAAGTATCAAAAATATGTGTCAAATGTTAAATTTAACCACAGGGAGGGGGTAAAATGCTATTCTATGGATATTTTTGTGAAATCATTTTCAGTTGCTTCTAAAAGCAGAAAGTGGGTCTTTTATCTCTGTCCATCCACCCATTTTTCACAAGGCCTGGTACAAAGTGGGTCTGAACTGAGAGTGCAAACAAGTTTCTGAGACACTTCTTGAAAAAAAATGAGCCATACTCAATTGCAGTGCCTGCTGTGAGCAAGGAGGTGGGCAGATACACATCAGATCAGATTGACATGGAGCAGAGACTAAGAAAACAGTTCCTCAAAGTCATACGCCATGTACACCGATTTTTATTACCAACTTCAAGATGTTCCTCAAGAAAAAACTGTCACCAGTACTTGTGACTTATATAAACAGGTCCGACGGCTATGCAGATTAATTTATATGTGATGCATGCATTTTCATGAAGAAAATTACAGGAACCAGGCTCTTGCCTAAAACAATGGAAATATGAAAGGAAGCTTCTACTAATCACTCTACCTCAAGTTCTCTCTGCAACCTTGAGCAAGTCATTGAACTTAAGTATTCCATTTTTCTACACAGGGAATGAGTTGACTGGACCAGATGCTCATCATTTCTGAGTCTTGGACACAATTCTCACTATTGAAAAAAAAAACCTTAAGGGCTGAAGAGATGGCTCAGCAGTTAAGAGCACTGGCTGCTCTTGTAGAAGACCTGGATTCAGTTCCCAGGACCCACAGGCAGCTAACAATGGTCCATAACTCCAGTTCCAGGGAATCTGACAACCTCTTCTGAACTCCACAGGCACTGTCCGAAAGGGGTGGGTGGACCTACATACATGGAGGCAATACATACACATAATAAAGAAAATATTAAACTTTTCTCATCTTCCTTTGTGTGAGTACCAGTGTTAGGAAGTGGGCTTCTTCCTTAAGAACTCTCTACCTTACTACCTTGAGACACAGTTAAAATATTAAACTTTTCTCATCTTCCTTTGTGTTGAGTACCAGTGTTAAGAAGTGGGCTTCTTCCTTAAGAACTCTCTACCTTACTACCTTGAGACACAGTCTCTCTTACTGAACTGGAACCTCGCCATTTTGCCTAGGCTGGCTGGCCAGCAGGACGCTTGAGACCCACTTATCTCCTTCTCCTCGTGTTAGGGTTAAAGGCATGCATAGCCAGCCATGCCTGGCTTTTTATGTGAGTGCTGAGGATCTGAACTCAGGCTCTCTGTGTGCACAGCAAGTTCTCTTCCCTCCTGACCATCTTCCAGCCCTGATCTCATCTCCTAAGCCTGGTGTTCCCAGGATAATAAATCAACAAGTATGTAAACAAAAATAGCCGTGTTTTGCCCAGTCTTCTTGCCAACCATTCTCTCCAAAGTTTTCCAAGGCTTCCGTCATGTGGATAGGGAAGACAACAATACAATTTAGCTAAATACTCTTCATTTTAGGTTCCTCTGCACAATTATTTCCCTTTTTTCAGTATGCACTGCCCTGGGCGCCATGTTTCTCATCAATTCAAGTCTATTCTAATAGGATCGTAGTTCTTGTTTCTTTAACACTTAAATAATGAATAGGACTTATCACCTGGAGGTATCTCCTTATTCTAGCAGTTGCTACTGGTTTTAATTAGACAAACTGCCATCCCTCTCAGTAACCACCATACTGTCAAGTGCCTATTAAGGATATTAAAATAGCAAGTATTAGCACCTTTAAAATTTGCATTTACAATAACAGAGAAACGGGATGTCAGGAAATGAAAAGAGAGGGGGGGGAAAAAAAAAAACCCTCACAGATGTCATAATTAACAGAAGCTTGGAGTAACTCAAAAAATCATTAGCAACTTTCCCCCCTAATTTTCTTACCAAGTGTCCTGAGCATGCCTTGGTTAAAATTACACGGGTGATAATTTGCTTCTCGTTAATTAAAAACAGGGAAATGGATAAGGTTGTCCTTTCAAAGAGAAGAGAGGATAGGGAGTCCAGCAGTGGAGAGATTTCTGCAAATGTCACCACCAACCCTCATTTTCCCCCAAAGGCCTCTCACTACAGTGAAGCTTCCCTTCCACAGAAGGTAAATTCAACAGGAAGATTCGGAATAACTGCTGGGTGTCCAACACTATCAATTCATTCTTGAAGAGGCATGGAGTAAGTGGGCAGGGCCAATGGTCGGCTGAGTTCTGAGACAGACCATGGAAAGAAAGGGGACTATTCTTCCATCTTTCCCCAGTCACGCACCCAGCAGGCTGCATAGCAACGGTGCAGAGTTCTCTCTGGAAGGTGCTTTTGCCCGCTCCAGCGCGTGGCTCTCGGGCATGTTTACCACGTGGCCTACCTAGCAGCTCAGAGTCAAAGACGCCTCCAAGGATCAGCTAACAAAGTAACCTGAAAGCCTGATGAACTGCAGGGAACTTTCTGCAACCCGCACCCAGCGCTTGCTTGCAGCGCCAGGCGCGTCCCGATGGTCCGCGCCGTGTCCAGGGCTGCGGTCCCCGCGGTGCCACCCGCGATGGGGGCCGGGTCTGTGCCGTGTCCCCGGCTCCGCCAGCCACGGGGTGCACGGGACCCATACGGGAACCTGCGGGAACCAGGCGGGACAGCGAGGGCAGCCGACCCGGGGGCGCCTCGTGTCCTCCGGGCCGCGCTCACCTGGGACCCGGCCGCCAGAAGCCTCGGCCGCAGCGCTCGCTCTCGCAGAAGTTTCCCGGCCTGCGCCGCAATGGTCACCGGGGACGCCATCTTAACCCGGAACCCGGAGGGAGCGTGGGCCGGGGGCGGGCGGGAGGCGGGCGGAGGAGGGCGGACGGTGACCGCACCGCCCCTGCCGGCCCAGCCTGGCTCCGCGCCGCCCAGCAGCACTCTCGTTAGCCCGCTCCAGTACTGCCATAGCCTTCCATCTGGACAAAAGCACAGCTCAGCCCTGGGAATGAGAAGTCAGGAAGTCTCACGGCAGAGAACCCTCCCAGCAATAGCCCTAGGAGCTGACACCATCAAGGGACCTCTGGGGCCACAGAGATGCTGGAGAAAGTGATGTTCCAGCTGACACCTGAAGGAATTAGGAGCAGGTGCCCTGCAGTCCTGGGCCACGTGGGTCTGATGAAGTTGAAGAAGGTTCTTCAGTTTTGTTTTGTTGAGATAGGGTTTCCTGTAGCCCAGGCAGGCAGGAAACGCACTGTGTAACTACGTAACTAAGGATGCCCTAGAACTCCTGATCCTCCTGCTTCCACTTCCCAAATGCTATGGTTACACATATGCACCACCCTGCCTGTCTTGTGAAGGTGATGCGAGGCTCTTTAGGTCTTACATGTATTTTCTTGCTCCTTAACCTTAAACCAACATAAAGCTTTTGCAGGATCTTAAGCCCAGTTCTAAGAAGAACTGTTATTTCTATTTACAGGACCCTACACATTACATGTAATAAAAATGACAATAGCAACTGCTGTGTCTAGCATTAGACAAACATGAATTCAATTAGTCTTCATGACATCCTTTTAAGTAGGTACAAGTCTTAAATATTCATTTTGCAGAAGAGGAAACTGAAGCAGAAAAGGAAAAGAAATTTGTCAGAAGTCATAGCTAATATGTAGAGATAGAAATAGATATTCAAATTCATACTTGATTCTCCAACACTATTGATACTAGTGTCCTCTGGCACCTTTCTTTAAAAAATATTTTTATAAATTCAAATTGACAGAAAAGTTACAAGAATATTACCTCAAGAGACCCCAACTATTCTTTACCCAGTTTCATCAATTATTTACATATTGGCCCATTTTTGTTCTTGATAGGTGAGTGAATATATAGTCCATTCCTAAATCTTACCCACAAGATCTGGGATCCATTGATTTATTTTATTTATTTGTGTGTGGCGTGTGTTCATATGTATATACAGAGGCCAGGGAAGGATGTCAAGAGCCCTGCCCTAGCACGCTCCACTATATTCCCTTGAGACAGAGTCTTTCACTGAACTTGGAGCTAAGCTGGCAGCCAGCAAGGCCTCCCATGGCACTGGAATGACAAGCACATGTGGCACATATGACTTCATGAAGATGCTGGGGATTTCGAACCTGGGTCCTAATGCTTGCACTCTTAACCACTGAGCCATTCCCCTGCCCACTGGTGATTACTGTTTGAATCAAATTCTTATGATGGTTATAAGATGAGATTTTCTAATTCCATTCTTCTGTACGTTCTCTGACTTTCCTTTTTCATGTATTAATCTAACTCATGGATTCTGTTTCATTCAGTTGTTACCAGGGAACATGAGTTCTCTTTGGGGGATTCTGGGTCTTATTGATAAAATAATTTAAAAACAGACTCAAAAGAAAGATTGAGGACCATTTTATTAGCGTTTGAGAAAAAAACAAAACAGCAAGTTGTAAATCTCAGTAGCTACTAGGAAGAGCAAGATGGATAAGAAGAAAAAAGGCATGCTTTTTTGAATCACAGTTCTGCAAGCAGTTGCATGGGGTCAGGCTGAAGATGAGGGCTCTTTGGAGAAAGAATGAGTAGGATTTGGGTAGATGTATTTGTTTCTTTTGTTGTTGGCTGTGACAAAATACTGGACACAATCGACTTAATGGTTTGTTTGGGACTACAGTTTGACGGTTCAGTCCATTATGACTGGGAGCTCATGGTAGCAGGAGTGTGAGGCAGCTGCACACATTGCAGTCACAGCTGGGAAGCAGAGGGGTGAATGCTGGTGCTCAGCTCACTTTCTCCTTTCTATTCAGTCTGGGAACCTAGCCAGTGGGATGGTACTGTGCACATTTAGGGTGGGTCTTACAACTGCAAATAATCTAATCCAGAAACTCCCCCATAGACATGCCCAGAGGCTAGTCTCCTAAATAATTCTAATCTCTATCTTGTCAAGTTGACCATATTAAACCATCACAGCTAGAGTCTGAAGAGGCAGAAAAATTGAAAAGAAAATGGAACACTTTTTAAGTTAGAAAATCGGGTAGGCTTAGCTTATTTGAATTGACTCTTAAGGAAGGGAAAATAATGTGCCTGTAATCTTATGTTTGGGGCAGTTTAGAATATCATGTTTCCACTTAAGGCCTAAGTCAACTCAAATTCTATTCCTCTGACCAGGAGAAGTAGCCTTCCCTTACTTAAAGGGTTCAGCAAAGCCCTGATATCTCCCTTCTATATTGTATTTAAAATATTAAAAAGAGGCAGTTGTGATGCTTCACTTTCTTATAATTAGTATGTTAAAGGAAGGTGGGTCCAAAACTGATCACAAGAGGGACAGTCCATTCTCAATGACCTTCAAGCCAGCTAGTACATGTCTAGCTACCTAGCCCAGTGGCCAGCTTATGCTTTTTCCTATCGTGTACACAGCTGCTTCTGGCTGTCATTCAATCCTCATAGAGCCACTGCTAGAGAGGTCCTGCAATAGTCCCACTGTGCCAGAGAGAACTGGGGAGTTGAGAGTTGCCTGCCTCATTTACACAGCTCTCAGCTCCCTTAACTCTCCCAAGGTCACACAGCTGGAAATCAGATTCCCCAAAGCTGGACTATCACCACTCTATTCCACATGGACTTCTTGACCTGAGTGGATTTGAGTTTCCATCTCATTTATCATTGCTGTTGCCAGTTTCCTGAGTCAAAGCCCAGTTCATTGTCTTGTGATTGCAAAGAATGATGAGCCAGGACCATGGAAAAAGGCCAAGCAAGCAAAGTTTATTGAGAAGTAAAGGAACAGCTAGCTGTAGGTGGGAGTGGACTCAAAAATGAATTGCCAAGTAGCACACTAAGTCAGAGGTTCTTTAATAATCTGAGAACAAGCCAATTTGGCCCTACCCATATGTAAATTAGGCATTGAATTGGGATAAACCTGGTTGGTTAATTTTAATGTATATTTATTAATATTAATATATAGTATATTATGGGGGATTCTGATTGGTCAAGGAACTGGGGGTGGAGGTGGGGCATAGACTCAGGGAATGCCTGCCAGCAGGGACAAGGCTCATCAAAAAGCTCCATGGAGCATGGCAAGAAGATGTGGTGGTTAGCCCACATCTTGCTAAGTCAGGGTTCTTTGAATTTCAGTTGCTTAGTTCACTGGTTGTGTAAATTTCATTGTAAAACCTCAGTGTTCACAGAGCTAACTACAAGTTCCCCCAGGACATATGACATTTTTGTTTTCCTTCAGCTTGTAACCCTGACTAACTCCCTATAGAATGGGGCTGCCATTCTTCTAATTCCCATCATTACTTACACTGGATCCACCATCTCCATGGGAATAGATCAGAGTCTTTCTAATAAGGGGCTGAGGATGTAACTCAGTTGGTAGAGTGCTTGCCTAGCATACACTGAAGTTCTGGGTTTGATCCTCAGTACTACATGGTGGTACCTATAATCCCAGAGCCTAGGAGGTGAAGGCAGGAGGATCAGAAGTTCAAGGTGATCCTCTACTACACAGGAAGTTTGAAGCCAGCCTGGGATACAAGAGACTCTGTCTCCAAAATCAAACAAGCAAAAATTCTTTATTTTTATGTGTATGTGTGTGTGTTTGCATGAGTTTATGTGTACCCTGTACATGCATGAGACCTTGGAGGTCAGAGGAGGGCATTGAATCCTCTAGAACTAGAGTTACAGACTTGTGAAACTCCATGTGGGTTCTGAGATCCAAACCCAGCTCCTTTACAAGAACAGTAAGTGCACTTAACCACTGAGTTATCTCTCCAGATCCATAAAAAAAGAAATTCTTGTTAGTATTTGTAGAACAAAGTCAGAAACTTGGTGAGTTTTGAACATGTTGCCAGGGGAAAACCATATATATAATTACCCAAAGCTTATTTACTCAGACATTGCTAGGCTAAAGGAGTCAGCTAGAATGGGTTTAGGGGACATAACTAAGTATTAGAGTGTTTGCCTAGCGTTCTTTAAGGCCCCAAGTTCAATCTACAACATCATAAAAAGAGACGCATTTGCTTTTGTTTGGGGTTGGTGGGGTTGGGAACTAGCGTTGAACGCAGAGCCTGGCGTTAGTTCTAAATCACTCTTCTATGTTTTTTGTAAAAATAAAAGAGAGGCCCTTAGGAGAATCTTTGATAAATAAGTACACTTCCAAGAAAGCATACTAAAAAACAAAAACAAAACAACAACAAAAAAGTGCTCTTTCAGAAAGGAATTTTTGGAAGAGGGTAGGGAGCTTTTTGATTGATGTTTAAGTATCTTTGGAGCTTGGAGCTGGTTCACCATCTACTGGTGCTTAGCTGGGGCTTTCCAAGCAGGTGGATGGCCTCGTATGAATTCCCGCTTCAATTGGAAGACTGTCTGGCCCTCAGCTATGGGACTCTCATAATTTATCAGCAGTTCCTCAGTGTCTTTGCCTACATTCTCTCAGGTCTACCTTCTGTGCAGCAAAGGGTAGACAAAAGGAAGAAGATAGTAACCATCCCTATGGTATCATCACACTCTCAGTGCTGGGCTGGGATATGCACATGTAATGAATCATGCTCACTGAGTGCCTTCTAAAGGCTCCTACCTGGTTTACACTGTTGGTTGTTGCTTTGTTTTTGTTTTCTTACTTTTTAAAAACATTCATTTATTTTTATTTTATGTGTATGAGTATTTTGCCTGCATATATGTGTGTGCACCATGAGCATGCAGTACTAACAGAGGCCATAAGGGGGCATAGGAGCCCCTAAAACTGGAGTTACAGACTGTTGTGAACCACTATATGGGGGCTGGGAACTGAACCCAGGTCCACTGCAAGAGCAGCCAGTGCACGCTCTTAACCATTGATTCATCTCTCTAGCTCCTTGATGGGTTTTCCATTTTGCTTT